GTCTGCCAGCTAGCGTGAGTTGAGTGGCGCAAATGCGCTGCTATTCCTTGCATGCATTGCGGTAAAGTGGAGCTCACTTGTCGCCTCTATACAACACATCACAGATCCTCTTTGAGCTTCTGATCGCTCTGCTGCTCATCGCAGTGGGCACGCTCAAGACTGCACAACCTTTGAGGCAACTTTCGTGGGCCGCAGAATGGAAAAGCAGGTGCGTCGCTGCTCTGCATGTCGCAGAAGTCACAGCAAGCACTCGCGATTTTGAGCAGCTGATCGATCTGATGCATGCAACTCGTAGGACCATCGATCAGGCGGAGACTAGATCAAACTTTATGACTTTCAATCATAGAGGACCTTTCATGTTGTCAGAGGCCAGGTTGGCAGAGCAGGCCGTGGTCGCCGCCAAGTCATGACAAGATTCGGCGTGTACGGACTGGGCACCTCTAGAATGCAATGGCACAGACTTGGAGTCAGCTGCAAAAGACGTGTGCAGTGAGATGGCATACTCGAGGCGGAAGGAGAGAGGAAGTAGCTCAGCTGAAGCTGGCCTGGGGGCCATGTGGCCTCTCAGACTAGACCCAGCCAGAAAGCCCTTGTATGGTAGAGGACGACAGCGTGGGGTACGCAGGTCCGATGCTCAGAAGACAATCGGGAAAGATCATTGGTACGCGACGTAGCAAGACACGCGTCTGAAAGGAGTCGAGATGAGCTCGTCGAGGGAACAGCTGCTGATTTGAGCAGATGCTGTGTGCATCGATGAGCTGGGGATATGCGCCTCGGGTCCCCAAAGAACAGGGAGCCGTGCTTCGAGGTGATGGTGTCGGATCTTGAGACGCTCAGCTGTACTGACCAGTCCCTCCGGACGCCCTCAGCTTTGCTCTAGCATCTGCGGATACCGATACATGCGGATCAGTAACGTGCGACAGCTTTGTTGCGAGTACTTTCCACAGTGTCACCTCATCGTATTTTAGCTCACATTAGCTAGCTTTGGCTTCATCACCTTTCGCCAGTAGTCTCTAGCTTGCACCCCTGTGCGTCCGCCGCACCTTTCGCCGACAGCAGCCCAGTCCATGGCAGGATAACCAAGGTCGCACATGCTCATGACCATGTCTTTGCGTTGCTCCGCCTGCATGAGCGCATACGTAGACCAGAGAGCGTAAACGCGCGGTACGTCGTTAGGCGTGCAGATCAGGTCGCTGGGCTACTCACGGTCCAGACACTTGCTGCTTGGCCCGTCTGTGGACGCTTTTTGTTGGGAGAGTTCGCTCCATTCGTCTCTTCATCGACCTCTTCCTTGGGAACATGCCTCTTCTTTGGACTGGTCTGACCTGTCGAGAGTCGTGCAGAAGTAGTTCTCTTTGGAGTGCTCTGCGAAGAGATTGGGGTGGGTGGGAGAACTGCTGGATCAGCATCAAGCGCAACTGTCGCAACAATCAACCACAAGCTGCGTTGCCTATCATATCGTCGCATCATCAACGATGTGACTTGCGGGAGTCGCGCCACATTTAGCCTCTTGCCTGAGGACATTGCATCGTTCATCAACAGCTCCAGTCTTGCGACGCACCTTTGCAGTGCGTCTCGATGACGCCAATGGCGACGCACATTGTGCCTCGTCCATCTCCTCGTCTTCTGAGCTTGGCGCAGTCATCTTCTTGGGGCTCGCCGACGCTCTAGCGCGTTTCTTGGACTTGCTCTTTGACAGCAACGAGACAAAGAGAGATACCTTTGCGTTAGCGACAGGGAAAGGAGCTGCCCTTCTTGGGATAGTTGGTATCTAGCTCTGGTAATGGGTGTGCCATCGGGAGTCCACAACAAGCTTGGGCTGCCTCACCAAGCCCATGGATCACATAGCCACCTTTTCGTATCGTCGTATACCCCCTACACTGCCATCAGAATAACGGACGCACCTTCGTACTCTGGTTGATCAACTTTTCCTTTTCGAAGCAGCTGTCTTCTGGCGCGCTGCTGTCCATGGCGTCTTCTTCTTCTTGCTTCAGCACATCCCCCGGTCCGCTCTTCATCCTCTTCTTCGAGCAGTGTTGGGAATGCACTTAAATGCTTGTTGACGTGTTGACTGGTAGAAGCTAAAGGGCGGGGGCTGAAGTCCTGAAGGGAGGCAAGATGGAGGAAGGGCAATAAGAGCAATGAAAAGCAATGCGGTGCTGCTGCTGCAGAAGAAGAAGAGATGCATCAAACGCGGCACTCAGAAGTCGACACAAGTACACACACATCCACGATCATGGCTCATATCCCAGCCCCAACATGTTTCGAGTCAGCGAGCACCGATCACGTTCACATTCACCACCATTCAAATTCGGTAATCCATGCACAGTTCGTGAATGATGATGAGTCGTGCCTCCGTATGCGAAGTCTTCTCTGAGCCTCTTGCCTCGCGACTCCAGCTAGACGCTTCTTTGATGATGAAAGGCACCCTTCGTGATTCACCTGACTTAGCAATCAGCTCCTAATTCACGTAAGAAAGACCGCTCTGATGAGCACGCGAGGCAATAATAGGTCAACCGCGCGAACGCGCAAACACGCGCGCAAACTCTGCGTGCATGTGTATACTTTGCTGCCGCCGGTATGCCGCTTATAGCTGTCATGCCGAGGGGAAAGGGGGTCAAAAATGTGAGACTTAAATCGTGTGCGTCTCATCACTCGCTCGCTTCGTAAGACGAGCTGAGCGAAATCTTGACACTCCCCTTTGGCAACCAGCTGCATGGCAGCAGCAGTCCTCAACCAATGGTGTGTAATTCAGCAAGCTCCGTTTGGGCATCAGTGAGAATCAAGTGTGAAGGTCACCTCGGCATTTGCCGAAGATCCAACGATCTTATCGTGTCAACATCGGGCATGTTTTTGCGAGTCTGGGGTCGTGCTTGCTACATTGGACCAAGAGCAGCTCAGCGATTTGCATGAATCGTCCTTGAAGGGGAAGCAGAAAGTTTTTTGATTGCGGCAAGGGACAGACATGCGAGGTTCTTGTGGAAGCGCTGACCTCGTTCAAAGCCCGCGGGCTCTTTGCTCTTCGCTCGGGAGTACAATGAAAGTGGCCGAGAGGATCGGACCATGTTGGGAAGAGCACTTGCAATGAGCCACAAACGCACATTCGACGAGACGTAGCGTGAATATGCCCTAGCTTTCAAACGTCTGCGTCACCACGAGAGCAGAGAGGGCATGATGAGCTTCTGTAGGCTTCTCTGCACTGCTGGCTGACGGATGCATGTCTCACTTTTTCGATGTGACCCTTCAACACCATATTGTAGTAGTTTCTGCTCTGTTGGGGGGTTCGACCGCTGCACTGATCGCTGAGCTCGCTCCAGTCCAGAGTGGCCGCCCCTTTGGCACAGAGGGCAGTGACAACAGCTTTTCGTTCTTCGGGCTGCGCGTTGAGCGTTGCGAATGGCAGCGTTGCGAGATTTCAAAGGTTTGTGAGCTCTGCTCCTGTCAGAGAAGACCATGCGCATCTGCACTGCCACGCTTACCGTCCAGGCCGTGCCTCTCCCAACACGCTTGCCTTCTTTGAGCTTTTGATTCTCTTCAGGCCCATCCTGAGCATTTTCCTCACGCTCGCCTTGTCCGTCAGCCTCATTCTTGACCTTCTTCTTGGAACTTTTTCGTGGCTTCAAAGGTCGAGCCTCTTTCTTTGGCGTCTCCTAAAGCCGACATGTGAGCAATGCGCGAGGTCAGCAGATGCTACACCAAGGCTCGTCAAGCAGCGTAAGCATGGCAATGCATTGCACATCAGCCCTTGGGCGAAGTACATCGTACCCTTACTCACGTCTACATTGGAGAGTGCCGATTTTCTCTTGCTAGGCGGTGGAGAGGCCGTTGGCGACGGTGGTGCGGAGAGATCAGATCCGATCATCGTGCCAGCAAAGACTTGAAGGTGGTCCTGGTATTGCAGATTGTGGCGGAGACAGAAATGTTGTGGGAGGAGGGAAAAGGCATGTCGAAACTTGTACCTAGCATCCATGAATGACACATAGACCAGACCAATCAGCGATTGTAGATATGCGGACAGCGGTCAGACTTTCGTACCAAATGCCTCCAATCACCGAAGCCCCCGCGCAACAGCGCCTGGTTGAGACAACGTGCCCGGATGACTCTTGATGAGCCTTGCGCATGCTCGACACGGCTGAGAGGTCGCATTGATTCTGGTCGCTCCATGCAACCATCGCTCTGATGGCTCGATTGATTGATTGATCGACGCTCATGGCAGACCGAGGCTCATGATGCAGACGAAAAGTCAGACGGCGAGTCACAGTGCGGGATGATGAGCGCGCAATCAAAAAAATGCATGGCAATCACGAAACACCAAGTCGATTCGATGATTGAAGGGAAGTGATGCAGGGCAATCAGCAGCCGGCTTGTATGTACATCACAGATGAAGATCGAGGTGCGCGAATCAATCAACTGCCATCCAATCCTGAGCCATCATATGCTACTGTGCGAGGGCGCAGCTCAGATTGACAGCTGCATGCATGCATATTGCGCATGCTGCTTGATTCATGCACAATTCGTGATTGCACATACGCAGGTGCGGGTACCTGAATGCGTGACAATCAGAGCAGTGCATGCTTGCCTGCCATGGTGATCGAGTCGTGGTCGAGCGCGCGCCCGGCGGGCCGCTCCGCACGCGGGGCATATGCTGTGGGTCGAGCTGTCCGCACACCAGACTTGATTGCCTCGTCCTTTATCATCCTCAAACGTCTTGAGCGCATGTGCATGGAGTCGGATTCAAAGAGGCTCACATCCCACTAAAGACCAAATTGCGAGCAAGGGTCCCATCGTCGAGCGGCCCAAGCGAGCCTTGGGGGGCCAGTCATGACGCACAACTTTAGCCAAGAGGTGTGAAAATGCGCATCAGATGATCAGGGTGTCACGAGAGCGAGACTTGTAATCAGAGTCGAAAGGTTCATTATTCACGGTCGAGCATATATGCATGGATGAGGATCGTACAAGCCTGCACGATTTCTGGAGTCGTATTCAAGATTCATGCTGTATAGCTGTGCCAAGAGCCTCTCCGTAAGGCGCACGCATTGTTGTGTCAGAACCTCGACAAAGAGGGAAAGCATTTGGGAGGCCTGCAGATTCCAGCACGTGTGATCGAGCGACTATCGATTTTGCCAAGCTCAAGCTAAAGGGTCGAATCGCCAATGTGCTTGTCAGAGCACAGCGCAAAAGCCAGTCGACTGTTGTGAGTTGGTATGGATGATGTTTTACGAGTCGAGAGACTATATGAAAAGCGAGCGAGAAGGGTGAGTTGCCAATCTGCGCAGTGAGCTCCTGCACACTTCATCCTCACCTTTTCCAGCTGATTCTTCAGAACCATGCGCCAGTAGGACTTGATCTGCGTAGTGCTCCTTCCACCACATTGCTCGCTCATGCGCGTCCAATCAACGTGTGCCATGCCGGCTTCGCACATGCCAAGTACAAGTGCCTTTTTCTCCGAAGGCTGCAAGCAGACGAACGGCTCAATGTCAGCGTGCCTTATGCGGGCGGGCAGAAAGTTCCTCTTCTGACCTTCCAAGCTGTCCTTGCTCCGCCACGCTTGCTGCTCTGTCCCTGCTCCTCGAGTCCAGAACGTTGATCGTCATGAGGTTCAGGCTTGACTTTCCTCGGACTGCGATGAGTCGTAGAGCTCCTCGCCTCTTTCTTGGGAGTCTTGGACGGGCAAATCAAGGTGTCAGCGGCTGAAGCTAGACTCTTGACATGTACGAGGTTGGACTCGAAAATCAAGCTATCGAACACGGCGGATGCTCGCTGTGATCAAGTTCCCGTCAAGAGTCTTGGCGTCGCTATGCAATTATCGCTCTGCTTTGGGATTGCGACTCACCCTTGCGGGCACGCCCTCTGACTGCCGTTTGGTCGGGGTTGAAGGAGAGCCAGACGGAGATGAGCCGTACTCCATGCTGCAATTTGAGATTCTGAGTTCTGAGGAGTAAGTAATGGTGAGTAGCGAAGCTCGGGGAGGGTACCTAGAGGCATTCCAAGAGGCAAAATGGAGCAAAGCTTGCGACACACGCTCGTGATCATGACCACAGCAGTC